AAAATTTTCAGAAAAAGATTTTTTGGTCCCCTTTTTTTTTTTTTTTTTTTTGGCAATTTGTTCATGTAAATGTACAAATATTTAATGTAAATTTAATTTGCACCACTTTTGGAAAAAATAAGAGTGGTTTAACCTAATTTTAATAGGAGTTTGTGTCTTAGTGACGGCTTTAAAAGCTTCTTCAAAACCACATTTATTATGTAAACTATGCATCAATACTAGGGAATAAAACTTGTACTTGAGCACTGGACCAATTTGTGACTAGATTTTTAATCAAGAGCAGCAAATGAACTGCATTTTAACAAAAATATTTTAAGCAGGATATGTTTGTTTTGTTTTTTTCTTTACAATGGCAACTAAGCCAATGCTTCAATAAAGGCTAAATTTGGAAGATATTAAGATTTTTAGTAAAATAGAGGATTCCAGACTTTAGGTCTGCATACAAATCTAGATATTAGTAGGTTTTGTATCATGATTTAGGACACGGTATATTTAGTTTAATTTACACAAACAGTTGTCTTCAGAGGCAAAATGTGCAAGTCAGCATATGCTCAGCAACGTTAAATAGCATGATGCATAAAACTGTGGTCTTTTTTTTTATTTTTTTAAATCGAGAGTCATAAAATAAGATAAGGATAATCGCTTAGAAGCCTCATCTTAATCTTTAATTAACTCTGGAATTACTACTTGGGTTTTAATTTAAGTGTATGTCTCTATTCCAAACATAGTAAAGACACCAAAGCAAACTCCCTTCCCAGCATGAAGGAGGAAATAAAAAATAAAAATGTTTATCAAGCTGAATGTGACAATTTAAGTCCATTTTCACAACAGGAGGAACGTATTCTAAAGTACCTGGCAGACACTTTACCGACCAACTTGTAAACAAAACACTTCCTTGACGTAATAGAAAAACTATGATGAATCACGAGCGTGTTGTACCTTCTGCTATTTCTCTGAACTTCGCCTCTGCGTCTGCGTCCTTGTTTCTGTCAGGGTGATACTTCAGAGCCAATTTATGGAAAGCCTTCTTGATCTGGCGCTCCGTGGCATCTCTGGGCAACCCCAGGATCTCGTAGTAGTCCCTCTTAGCCAGGATGAACTCCGAGATGAGAAGAATGTGAACTGCGACAAGCAGCATCGACTGCGCCGTGGCCATACTGACTGACGGTTTTCACACCCGTTAGCTGTAAAAGCAGAACGTATACCGGATACATAACGTTTAAAATAAACATCGAAGTTCAAAATTGGATAACAGAAAATGAAAGCAGGTAAACGTTTTCTAACGTTTGATTTGTTTTGGGGTTTGTTTGTTTTTTGCTAGCTGTTTTAAGAGAGCCATTACGCTGATGATGGGAACTCTCTGGAACAGACTAGAAACTTTCGATCAGTTTTTAGCAGTAACAAACCTCATTAAAACCACATTTCTCTATTTTCAGTCACAAATAAGCCCCTTGTACACTAAAAACCGTTATTTTTACAGAAATCCGAACAGTTACCTGCAGAAGAAGAGATGAACAGCCTCGGGGATTCTTCTCGTCACCCGCCAACAGCTCCAGCTGATGCGAAACGAAACCCAGCAGCTGTTGACGACAAGCATTCCTGAACCTCAACAACACGACTCGCATTCCTATTGGTCCGTTACTCAACACACTGACTCTGAAGGCTGTGATTGGTGGAAATTTTGCGCACGTGGAGGCTTGAGGACTGAGAGCAGTGGATTTGACTGAGGGGAGTCTGAAAAAGAGTAGCGGTATGAAAAGATAATTACAGGTATTTTGCTTCCGTGTTCGGGTTCCGTTGCTAATTTTAGATTAAAGTCGAACATCTTATTTGACAGACTATATATTTTAACTTTATTTAGCTTATATTTGTAATATTCCTATGCCTTTTGCTCTAAATATGTTGTTGAATAAAACTCTGACACAATCTTTTTCTTGTTAGATGTTGTGCTGCACCCTTTCTTCCTGCAGTGCAGCATTAGACAACTAATATAGTTTATTTCTTTAAGCCCATTTTTATTTTGTTACATTTTCTTGGTTTTTTCAATCCGTATTTTTACATGTAAATGTTTTAATGCGCTTCTGTTGAGTAACTATGCGGTGGGTACGCACGATTTGTCAGCCGGCGAGGCAGGAACTAGGCTTGCCGGATGGTTGTAGTTTGCTGACAATTTCAAATTCCGCTTCAACTGGGGAATACGCATAGCCGTTCAAGATGTGCCGATGTCGGCTTCATTTTCAATACATTTTTATCTGTCACCTTTTTAATTAGTAAAAACAAATGGACATATATTCTCTGCACGTTTTCCCTCCATTTAAGAAACTCCTTTAACTCCGCTCCAATCATCACCCTGGCTGATTGTGAAGGATTCGACCCAATGTGTTGGCTAAATAAATAAATAAACGTCACCTCCGCCATTCAGACAGCATACCGGAAGTTGACTTTTTCGAGATTTTTCGCGTTAAAAATATCCTTAAACGTGTGTCAAGGTGTTTCGATGCGGCTTCACAGAAGAGATGCCACGGTACTGCGCAGAAAAGCTTTGCCGAAACCGTGGGGGGACTTCATCAAAACAAGACAAGAAAATCAGCTTTTATCCGTAAGTTTTCTGTTTGCATAGTTTTTTCTCAGCTATTTTAATTAGGCTTTTACCGTCACCGTTATAAATTGCTTATAGTGTCATGTTTGTGCTAGATTGAAATAAACTACTACTAGTAACGGAGTTGCTTGCTATTACTCACCTTTAAAGCTACATGCCAAACCTTTCTGTATCAATTAGAATACAATAGATCATATTGGTATAACATGCAATCAGTTTCTGGATTTGTTTTGTTATTTTAAGGTAAAGTGTCATTTAGTCAAAATTAATTTATTATGAAAGGGGGTGGGGAAGGTGTATGTTTAACTGTGTATGAGGCTCAGTTCAGTTTCATAATTCACAATAACCTTTCATTCAGGTTAATTAATGTCCTTCGTTGTTCTCCTTCTGCACAGTTTTCCCTTGCAGGACAGGCCCAGGCTCCAAAAATGGGTGAACAACATGAGGCGGGAGGAGTGGACCCCAAGTCGGCATCAGTATCTCTGCAGCGAGCACTTCACAGAGGACTGCTTTGATATTCGCTGGGGTATCCGATATCTGAGGAATACAGCTATTCCCACCCTTTTCCCCTCTGTTGAGAATGTATGTAGTAACCTCCATTAAAAAAAAAAAATGTTTAAAGAAAATTTGTTTGAGTTTACAGATGTTTCACACTGCAGCTATATTTTTTTTCTATTGTAAATCCACAGCTGACATGTGTTGCGTTGCTGTGAATTAACTGCAGTATTCTCTTTCATCCAAGGAATGTGAGAACAAGGTTACCCTTCAGAGAAGTCCTGAAGCCACATCCCTGTCACAAGCCGAGGACTTTGAGTGTGATACCAGTAGGATGCCTCTAATTTTGAGGAAAATGCGCCTACCTGTTAAAGAACAGTCCACGATGCTGCTCAAAGTCCCTCTCTTCCAAGAATCAAGGATCACTTCTCAGTCAAGTCTACCTGAGACGCACACTACTGTCTGCGAGGTAACGGATGACAGTGGAGTTTCAGCAGTGCCCTGCCTCACACCGCCGGCGTGCTCTGAAGAGCAAACTGACTCGATTGTGACCGTGTTGTGCTGCGAGGCACCTGGCCCCTTCTCCGGCGATGAGGAACATGCACCTTGCGCTTCGTTTGCAGCAGACCAGAGTCAGACTTTTCGTTTTGTGCCTGTGGAATTGATTAGCGACAGATCTCTGGGGAGTTTTGCAGAGGAGGCCGAGGCCGAGCCCGGCGACAGAGAGCACGTTTTGGTTCACGAGCACTCGTACTGCAGAGCGGACACCGACAAGGACGAGTTGTGGAGTAAGATCCTGAGTCTGCACGCAAAGATCCTGGAACTGGACCGTAGAGAGGAGAGCACTGTGGCTAAAATCCAAACTTTAGAAAATGAGATTGCACTCCTGAGGAGGGATGGGGCAGTTTTTAAAGAGAAGCAAAAGATTTTAGAAGATTATATATCATCTGTTTTACTCTGATCTTTAGACATTTGACTTGTGATTTTATATCCTTTTCTGTAGCAAATTTTGGTCAGTCAATTGTTCGTCTTGGGTGAAACACATGCTGCTATAGGTGCAGGTCTGATCATATCCATGTGGTGGCACTGTGGTCATTTTCATTGCTTAACCGCTGTACAGGCCTATTGAACAAATTAGAATATTTTTGAAAAGTTCATTTATTTCAAGAACATTATTGCTTAGTAAAACATTATATAATAATAATAATAATAATAATTACACAAAGATGGCTGTTTTAAAGTCTTTATGTTAATTATGCTGCATTTTAAAATTAAAATATATCAGACAAATTAAAAAGAAAAAAATGTAATATAAAAATGCAGTCTTAATGAAAAATATGCTTTATACCTGCTTAAACGCTGTCAGTTTTCAAAAGGTACTTTTATCCTGACATACGAGCCTCATTGGAACGCATATTCTAATTTAATAACGTATCTATATTTTTAAATGTGAACTGCACATTTCACCTTTTCTCTGAATGGCACTAAATTTAATTTTACAACCTGACACCAATCTACAAGATGATTTAAATTCATCTTAGCCGTTCGGCTTCATAATCCTCCCCAGACCGTTGTCATCAATTTGTCAGGCTTTCCGTGTGGTGTTCGGAAAACTATTCATTTCACCACTCTTTACGTCTGTATGACTATCGATCATAATAAAATAGAGGATGGAGAAATGTAAAAATGTTTTCCACACTTTTATTCCTTCCTAGTCACCATGGTGACCACCATTTCACCTCTTTCTTCATACCACATCGAGACTCGAGCGTTGTAGGAATAATCATCTTGAAAATCATGACCTCATGCACTTACGAAGGTTTTGATGGGCCGATGGGGTCTGAACCTGAAATATGTGTGGACTGTAAGCTTGCTTGGGAACACAGGTGTTAATTCCTTAATTGCTTTCTTCCGTGAAGTGTAAATTTAAGTTAAGTTGTCTTTTTTATCTTAAGCATGTCAATCAAGTAATTTGGAAGCCAAGAAAGCTACGGAAATTTGATATGAAAAATCTCGCCATTTCTTGCCCACTTTTTCCTTCCACTAAACTTCCAGTTAATATAATTGAACACAGCACAATGTGAACAGTCGGCAATTAAGGTTTAAAAAGTTAACCTCCTGAGTCAGTGTTTGCATGCTGTCTGCCATCTTTCCCATGACTGCGGAGGCCATTAAGTAATATTTGTGTAAATAATAAAGAGTTTTATTTTATTGCTTTTAAGTTTCCATTAGCTTTAAACCCTGGTTATTAAAAAGAACAGAAATAGACACATTTCTGTTCACTCTGTGTAAGTAATCTATATGTAAGATCATGTAAAAGCTCACTTTTTAACAATTACAGTTTTGTTATAATATTCACATTTTCTAAGCTGTGGTATCTATCAAAACTAATTGATAGAGTAAAACACCAAGAGGTATTAATTTTTGTGACTTTTTTTAAACGTAAAAAAGTATTTCAATGTGTGTTTATTATTTTTTTAAAAAGCACTTTAATTGAGTAAAATTAACTGAATAACAGTTTCTACTCATTCGTGCTCAGTGCTGTTTTCTTCCTTATTAGTGGTTCTGCTTTGTTACATCTGTTCCTTTTTAACTTCATAATATTTAAGCCACTTTGATGATTCATCGCAGCAACCTGCGGCTTGCAGACAGCGCCGGTGGTTAAGTGTTGTGTTACCCTGGAAATAATTGTGCAATTATTTCCATTTTAATTTTGTAACTCTGGGGATATTATTTTTAATGGAACAGCCGATGTATCACGAATCCCTTGACCACAGTGGTATGCTGCTTTTTTTTTTTTTTTTTTAAATACAACTGCTGTGACGAGTTAGTACAAAAACTAGTTAAAATAATTAATTATTTTGATTTTTTTTTCTCTCTCTTGCATGTTTTTCTCAAGGTTTAAGACCCAGGTGTTTATAAATCCGGTATAAATACTCTTGCTTGTCACATTGCATCTGCTCAACCATCAGTCACTAGTGCGCCCCCAAGCGTCTGCCTAACACTTTGGAAATTTGAATAATTGATGCCCACAAAGCATGACAAGGCTATAAGAAGATAGAGAGACTTTTCCAGGAAGTAGCTTCCGCCTGTTTGAAATTCGATTAGGTAGAAAAATAAATAAATAAACAAACAGCTAACAGGATTGGTTGAGGTCAAGCTGAGGTCTTGGAAAACTTGGAGAAACTTTTGACGGAAGAAATTGCAAGTAGGTTTAAAGCTAATCAAAAGCCTGGATTGAATATATTGACAGCTGCTCTAATGACGTCCTTTAGGATGCATCATAAAATGACTTGTTTTCTGCATCCTTCACTTAAAATTTAGCTTCAAACATTTGCAAGTGGGCTTCAAAATGAAAATGAGGCCAATGTGCATCGATGCTAAAGCTAAAACAAGCAAAGGGTGAACACTGCCCGACAAAGGACGCCTCATCAACTGTCGCTACTATGCTTTCATATTCTGGCCTTTCTTAAATAAATTGCTGTCTTCCTTGCATCTCAGAAAGCCCCCTCTTCCTCCTCCCATTAAGTCTGTAGTGATGGTTTTATACAATGCAATTACACTAGCACAAAACCTGCAGCAGGATTTATCTCCCACTTCTCCACCCTCGGGCTTTGAGTTAGTCACAGTTGTATTTTGGCTGCATCAGATAGCTAATCTTATTTGAAGCAGATATAAAACCGAGTGCCACAGGCTCTCAGGTTACACCGAGAACATTTTTATCTTTCTCTTTCTTTTACCTGACGCGAAAATCAGCACGCGTCTCGAATTGGGCATGTTTCCTCTCTGTGTTGACTTGATGGGAATTTCTACAGCAAATTAGATCATTTATATTATGACACAGCCGCGCCACGCGCGCTAATGGGCACGTGCTGTTGACGGGCTGCCGCAAATTGGCAGACATGGATGGGCTTGTGAGGTGCAAGGGAAAACAACACGAGACAAACTATTGCGCTAGGCTTCGCTGGAATGGAAAAGGAAACGTAATTCACATTCAAAACGGGAATCAAGTCGGTCTGGTGAAGGTGTGCAGCTGCAGGAAAAAGAAGTCGTCATGCCGACGTCGTAGCCAATATTTAAGGTTCTCCAGCAAAAGGAGAACCTTTTATGTCGGAGGTTCCATCGTCCTGTGGGGTATGTAGGTTTAAGAAAATCTGACTCATAATTATACCTGGTTTGACTTCAGATAAATACAGATCTTTGCCTTGGTTAAACAAGGCAAACCTTTCAGACAAAACATTTTGAAGTAGATAGAAGTAAGAATGTGTGTCAGGAATTTCCAGAAAGAAGTCAAAAGGAACTTCTTGACGGCTACAATAAACGCTTCTCAATTACTCTAAAGGTGACATTATCTGCATTCATATTTGTGGTCTTTTTGTCTAACAAACTTCTTGTGTGTGTGTGTGGCTGTGGGTGTGCATGTGTGTGTGTGTGAAAGTGATGAATATTATTCCATGAAGAGGAAGGAGGATCAGAAAGCAAATATGGTCGAAGCTCATGTTCCTGCATTGTTTTAATATCAGAGATGGGAGCTTTATCTTTGACCTGTCTGTGAAATATTTAGAATGAAATTTGTATAGAAGTCAATGGGAGATGAGGTTTGGGATTACTACAGTTTAGGTGTATTTTACAGATGAACAAAGATCCAGCATTAATGTCTGACCTATATTTTAAAATAAGACAAAAATACCTACATGTTGATGTATATGTTTTTATGAAAAGTCTAATCTTTGATGGGAACAAACTGTTTACATCATCCCTAATGCCAAGAATGTATGTGATGTCACTTACTTTTAGGGGTCAACCATAGCAACACATACAAACTTGGCTAAAATGCTCACAAAAATAAATCTTACATTTTCTAATAATTTTGAAATATGTTGGAAAATATAAATTATTTAACAATAGCGTATTGTCCAGTCAACGTCTGAATGGTGTTTTCTAGTAAGAAATACCTTGCTTCAAAACTGAAATTAAAATACATTTGCAAAGTCAACTTTCTAGACGTGACAATTTATTTTCACTTATGTCTGAAAACTGAATTTTAACATGCCAGTTTCTACTCCCAGCCTCCACGTGTCCTGTTTACCCATAGCTACACACCAACAGGAATTAAAAAAAAAACCCGAATGTTTATGTCTCTGATTGCTCATTTCTGTTTTATCTTCGTCCAGCAGGAGACAATCCTCCATGCAGTCACTGCAGCGCCTTCTGAAAAGATTAAGCATGTTTGAATATATTTATGTTCCGTTCCTTTGCCGGTTTCCCCGCAGTCTGCTAAATATACACCTCTCTGTTTCGCACAAAGGAGCGAGAGGATATTTTTCGCCAACAGAGAACACAAACAAACGTGGCTTTCTTCCTCAAAGTCTTCTCCACGTGGTTCAACAAAGGATCGCTTCACCTCAGTCGTCACAGGTGGGGAATCTGTAGAAACCCTGTTAATTATTTCTCTCTTTCTTATGCTGTTCAATTTATTTATTTTTTTCTCTCTTTTTTTTTCAGCTGTAGTACAGATATATCCAAGGGTTTGTGCAGCTGTTGAGACCGGCGAGCAGCATGATAATTGAAAATATGGGACCTGCAAGACAAAAAAAGAATAAATGTGATGAAACACTGATGTCATACTCACAGCCTGGGAGTGTTTATGCACTTGCTGCAGGTCGTCTTCCTGTTTGATGCATAGGTTCATTGCGTAGTGATTTCTGCTGATTTGACAGTTGGCTGAAACCACTCAACACAGAGAGAAAGCCTCAAAAAGTGCTTAAGAACTGCAACTAAGCACACTAATGTAAAATTGAGTGGAAGAAAAACATGTGGCAGAAACAGGTGCACTAGCAATATCTAGTTTAACCACTTATGAACCAGGAAATCTGAGAACATCTATTATTCAACATACAATGCATCTGTAAATATAATCTTTCATTTAAATTACTGAAGCAAACTCGTTTCCTCGAGGATGAATATTTTGGTACCTTAAGATGATTTCTAGAAACAGAAATGAGAGAAATTCAAAAGTCCCAGAAATGTTACGTTCAGCTACTTAATCATATGTTGACTGTAAGTTGCATGCGTAAAACAAACTTAAGTGACTAGTGCGCACTCAAGCACGGCTCTACTCCAGGGGGCCCACATCCTCCTACATCCAGCCCCGCTGAAACCCTGAAACCAACCTTGCGTCGGCGCGCTGCTCGGGCTCCACGCCGACCACAGCTGCACAACGAAAAAGGGGCTCCAGCACACCGTGTACGCCATTATAATCACAAAAGTCATCTTCACCGTCTTGAGCATTGCGTTGGAGACCCCCTTCGTGCCCGCGCGCCCCGACTGCAGAGCCTTCCTCTTCATGTTGAAGTAGATGGTTGTGCATATCCGCATCTGGCAAAACAACAGGATGACCGCGGGCAGCGCGAAAACCGCCAGAGTGATCCAGCTGATGTAGATCCTGCTCCCCCAGGGCTCGGCGAACGTCGCCCAGCAGTCATACAGGCTCACCTCCACCTCCTGGAGGGAGAAGATGAAGAGCTGCGGGGAGCTGAAGACTAGCGAGATGAGCCACGCTGCGCCTATGGAGATGTACCTCCGGAAGGAGCCCTCCAGGAAGGAGACCATGGGCTTGCAAACGGCGTGGTAGCGGTCAATAGCCATGGCCACAATCATGTAGGCGGAGGCGAACATCCCGACCACCTGCAAGTACTTGACGAGGCGGCAGAGGAAGTCCGTCCCGCGGAACCTGTGCGTAATTTCCATGGAAAGCTGCGGCAGGACTTGGAAAAAGGCCACCACCAGATCCGCCAGACACAGGTGCAAGAGGAAAAGCTGGGTCCGCGAGTTCCTCTTCCTCCTCTTCCACAGGGTGACTAAGAAGAAAAGGTTGCCACATGTGGCGAACACAAAAATTAACCCCAGAACTCCGGCTCTGAGGAGCGCAAAACGGACGGCTTCGTCTTCATCTCCTGCCAACGCAGGGCTACCGCTACCGCTGCTGCTGCTGCTGGGATCCATTTAGACGGAGAATATATACATATATATTGTCGTTTCCGATTGGCTTGAAATCAATAACCTCTTTTACAAAAATAGGATTTTGCCTTTTTGGCGCAGCATTCTCGTGCGCACAAACTAAACGCGTCGCAGGTGTCAGCGGTGACTGTGAGAAGAGAAGGGAGGAGAGGAGGGGGCTGAAGTATGACTAATGTCAATGTTATCGCTAATACAACACACACACTGACATAAATGTTTAAAATCATCACGATTTACTTGAGAGTAACAAACATGAATTTAACCATCTACAAAAACGCCCATGTTTATAGAATGTATCTCATTGGGATTGTGTGATAAACACAAAGTAGTGTATAATTAAGTGGAAGGGGGGAAAAATATCCATGCTTTTGTCTTTGTCAGCTTTGCACATCTAGACAATGAATTTATGTAGCTCAAGATCAACCGGATTGGATGGAAAGCGACATAAATGTTCGAGTCTTGCCTGACATTCTCAGCTAGATTTTAGTCAGAACTTTGACAGGGCCATTCTGACACATGAGCACACACTGACCACTCTTTGTGCAGCCCTGCTGGAAGGTGGACCTTTTAAGTGTTTTGCAGCCTCTGACAGGTTGTGTTCTCTGTATTTACCTGAATCCATCTTCACCAAGCAACTACTGAGAAGCTCCCCTGTAACCTGCTGAACAAAACCTTCCCCACAGAGTGATGGCGCACTTGAGGTAATCTGCAAACTGATCCTCTTATCGCTTTCTTTCTTTCAGCAGCGGCTCTTCTCTTGTTAAGTGCAATTGGTTTGTTTGAACAGAGTATAAAAGTGGCCGAATACCACAGCGTTTTGTTTGCACCGTAACATTTTTTAAATACTTTTCCTCCTCCTCTACAGCAACACGCAACATGGTGTTTGTTTCATATGAAATCCCTCTCTCATTCTCTCCCATTCTCTCTTCTCTATTCCAGATCACTCCTGATCATTAGCACGTCAGCAAAGTGGATTTAAAACTGGCCAGGCCCATAAAAAGCCTTTTGCATTCAGCCTATCAAGGAGACTGATTGCAACTTGCTGTTTCTTTAGCAGCATATAATGAAATCTTTTTTACTCTCCTCCTCCCAGAAAGTGGTAGCTCGGCCATTTCATTTGCATCCGAAGGCGCGACTGAGCAAGAGTCTATCGAATCATCATAATGGCGTGTGGGTTTCTTGGCTTTAATTGCGCTTGAGGTCATGGTAAAAGTTCTGATGTTGACTTTCAGAACTCTTTGATAGAAATTCAGAGATAAACATCCGTCAGCATAAGGCACATTTGCCCAAATGTCAGACTAAAAAAAAAAAAAAAAAGAAAAACGCTCTTAAAAGCTTGAAAGCTGAAGAAAATATCAATAATTATGACTCTCGAGCGGCAGAGAGTTAGCTTTTCCATTAACCAAATGTTTGATTAGAGATTTCCATTAAAGAGTCAACTGGGATCTAGTCTTCATCTGTTTTGATTAGACGGCTAAAAGTCTTGATTTATTTGAACATTTCAACCCAGTGAGCTTTTGTCGTTTTGTGCCAGCTTTACTGAGAAGCCTGATACAACAGGATAATGAAACTCAGTTCAGGCCCCACTCCACTGTGGAGCAGTGACTCTCCACTCATGACAAATGACTCTTAATCTGTACTCTATTTCATGGCAGGTTGGTGTTGTGAATGAAGGATTTTTTTTTCTTGCTCTCTCTCTTTCTCTCTTCCTTGCATTGCTTCTCTCCTCTCTTGTTTATTTTTGGTAAGATTGTAGTTTCTAAGAACTTATGTCAAACTTTGCTTTTTCTCTGGGAAAATCAATAAATCAAAATGGCTTTTTCACGAGCTATTCACACACCACACACCGCTTTTTACAGACTTGAGTGTCTTTTCCGAGAATCAATCTCTGCAATTTTCTAAAACATATATATTTTTTATTTTTTTTGTTAAACAGAAATGTTTTAGGAATTAGCTTCTCGAACAGCGTGTGCTTAGTCTTTACATTGACCTTTCCCTGGCAATTTATCTGTGCACGTCTCTCAAATTAGGAAGAAAATGCATCAAACAGAAGGTCACACAAAATGAGTAACGCCTCAGAAGTCTTACAGCATATTCCCGTTTCATGCCAAGTAAAATAAATGTTGAGGTTATGTGTAAAAATCAGCTTCTTATTGGCTGTTCTATTTTATTTATTTATTTTTTGCCTTCTATGTACTATAACCCACAGAGATCACAACTTCTTATTGTTCTTTGTTTAAAATATAGATGGATAATAATATGGAGGAAGAAATTCAGTGGAAAGAATTTGTGATAACATTAAGCTCAAAAATATGAATTATTCCTATTTTATTAAGCTTAAACATTGTGTCCATACTTGGCTTATCCTAATTTTCCAAAACCTGATTTCTTATCATTAAAGAAACAAATAAAGAATTTCAATGCTTTAAAGCTTTTAAAAATGCTTAATTTCAGATTTTTCTAGTGTATATATGTAAAATAAAAAAATGTTCTACTACCAAACATAATTTTAGATTTTTTTTTCTTTACTGCATGATAATTTCTCATCGTTAAAGCATTTTGAAGCATTTTCAATTTCATCCCATTCCCTTTCTACCAATTTGTGAAATCTAAAGCACATACAAAATTAGCTATAAATTAAATGATCAAAGTGTCACATCTTCTTTGCTCCATGTGTAAAAGTTCATTTCAAAGTGGAGCTTCACCATCAGTGCTCGGGGGATTTATTTTTTGATTCACCAACCAAAGAGTATAGACTCTGGCTGTCTCTTATCACTGTAAATACGAGGAGGCCCATCCTATGAACTGTGAAATTTATGTGCGAGCCTCTGAAGTGGAGATTTCTTTTTCCACACATGAAATGAACTGGCTCTTTAGGTGCTCAGAAAAATCTTGCAGGTAATAATCACAAATTAGTGAATGTTTGTTTCTTGTTCTATTAAATCCATCAACATTTGTAAGTGAAACTGGTGTGTTTATTTGGAGTTATTATTACATTAAATATCCAATGACACTTTTTAAATTGATTTGACCTGATAATTAGCTCTGCTTTTTTCCATATGAATGAAAAAGCAATAAATCTTTATATATTTCAGTCTGCATCTATTGGCATGTAGAATAGATACCATCAATAGAACCAGCTCCAGTACATTCTCTCCTCGATAAAGATTTGCTCAAATACCATTTATTCATAAGAAGCTGGTGTTTAACCAAGACATTAACAGAACACATGAGAAAATGAATACATTTTTACTGATTGCGTTTATTTAGTTTGAATACGTAAAACGGCTTCATTAGAAATGTTTAAATCCAACAGTTTTTCTAATATTTGCTGTTACTTTTATTGAAAGTATTCCAATATTAGAGTTAAAAGCTAAATGAAGCAATAAGATTCTCATATCTGGTGTCCATTAAATTTTTAAAATGATTATATTTTTTGGTTTTCTTTAAATTTAGGAAGTGGAAAGGACAATTATCAACAAAAGAAGGTATCCTATCCAATACTGGCTGCAATACATTTTCTGTAGTGATTCTAAAATTTTCCACACTAATTCAAAAATGTTCTAGCTTCAGTATTTTCTGCCATTCCTTTAAATAAATTAATTGTCTTTGCCGTGGCTATTTTTATTTATTTATTTATTTTTGTTTAATTTCCCTCCATGGCTGTAGGTGGCAGTGATGTCTATTTTATCTGGCTCCAGTAGAGCAGCATTCCATTTCCTGTTTATCATTCACAACTAGCTTAGGTGGAGGCAGAAAGTACTAGCTCTACAATCAATGAAATATTTCAGAAAACCCTCCTTACGTTTCACGAGGTAAGAAGAAAGTTTACATACACATTTTTAACCAGTACAATTTCACTTGCCGACACAGACTCTTACGATTATGTATGTATGCTTTATTTGGTAAGCCAACACGTCCTTTTATTGAGCTGCCTCTGAACAAATTAGCTCTCAATCGCCAGTGTGTTGTTACCGTTTTGTCTAACATAGGTGTGTTTTTAACAGATGTACCGTCGTTTCAGTGAGACTAAAGAAAAATGTCCAAAGTCCATACACAGGGCCTGTTATATAACTGGATGTTACATATGGTGGCCATCTGATTTATGACTCCATCATTCTCTGGAATAAATCCTTGGTGTCGGTAATGTCAGTCAACCACTTCTCGCTGAACTTGCTTTTCCCCGGAGTGTGTATGAGCCGCCTGGACTCGAGTAGGAAGCGGACTTCCACCGGAGCTTCGGGTTCGGTTTTCGATATTTCCATCGCGAAGTAGATGTTGACTCTGTCCCCTATTGGTTTTCTGGCAGTAGGGGCCATGAAAAGGGCCTTGTAGAGGTGGATCTTAAAGTCATCCTCCAGTTCCGTGCGGAGATAGTCCACGTTGTAGACCCAAACCGGCTTGATATCCCATGTTTTAATATATGCCTCAATCTTAAAGTACCCCCCTCCGATGGTGAAGTCTTTGCATAAGCCCCACACAGTGCTGTCCATCATACTGGGCGGGGGGTTTTCAAGTTCCTCCTTTAACAGCCTCTCAAACCGCAATGATTTTATAAGTAAGGAGAGCTCCGCTGCCTCGTTTGTGCCACTGATAGGTTGCTCCATCTTGTCGTTTCAGTCTTGTTATATTAGCGGTTTCTATGGTTACTGAAGAAGTATAAGTCAAATAGAGCCATCTAGTGGCTACCTGCTGTTGTAACATTAACACTTAGTGTAGAACACGTCTCCCTCTGCTGGCTTCTTTATGTAACAACAATACAATTATATAAATTATTTAGATGTAAACTTAATACTTTCTTTTTTATTTTATTTTTTTACAACTATTAATTTCTAAACGTGGAACTCATTTATTATATAGATGCATCACACAACTTGTTTTTTTTTGTTTTCTATTAAGTTTGGTGATTTTCGGGTGTCACGTTGGACACTGGGTTGAGCGGGCGGGCCGAGTTCGACTCCCGCCCTCGGTTCCTTTACCGCCGCATTTCTGTCCCACTTTTTCCTTGCGCCTTTCCTGTTGGATTACTGGGAAATAAATTGCACTACAGCCGAAAAAAATATATTAAAAAAAATAGTTTGGTTATTGTAATTGCGTGGTTAATAAAGGTTTTACTTTTTGAATTGTCTTGTATCAAGAGGCACCAATACTGTAGAAAATAGAACCATCTATTTTGGTGGCTTATTGGTGTAACAACAATAATAAAATGTTCTGTTTTGTTTTTATTACAGGAAGTGAAAGCTACCAGAAACTTTCAGTGCAAATCATTTTTTTCCTTTTAAAAATGGAGCTAAAGCAACCATAGATCACCGAAGGCAAACCTGCCAGGATGCCACATCATTCCAAACAAATATTTTAGCCTCTCCTCTTCTCCCCAGTCTCTTCTCCGCTAATGTTTCCAGCGGGTCGTCAGACGCATGTCACGGCTCAGGTCCACAATCGACAGCGTCACCAAGGCAGTGGGAGGCACAGACCTCATCTCCAGGTTCTCCCGCTTCAAACCTGGCGGTGCCGCAACCAACGGTGCCCTCGCTGAGAAAACGCCGCTGAAAGCCGAGACCCTGAGTGCTAATGACGCCTCTTCTGGAGGAATGAAGGAAAAGGCAGGTGGGACAAATGGAGCAATGGAGGAGGCAGATGAGCAGAGGGAGCAAGTTGCAGAGCAGCCTTTCGTTGCCCCAAAAAAGTCATCGCCCACCTCAACTTCAGCAGCGAACGCAGCCGCTCTGAGCTCTGCCTCGACTGTGGCAAAGCAAACCAGGCAGCTGTTTCACCCAGCAGCTCTGTCCACAAACATGGACGAGACGTACAAGACTCTGTCCAACCACATCAACAGTTACTTTGGTCCAAACACACCGGGAGAAGGTGGCGAGAACAGGCAGCATTTCTCTGAGGCTGTTCCACATGTTACCACCCTGAGAACGACGGAACCCGTTCCTGTTTTGTCTCCAGTTTCGGAGACCAAGAGTACCGAAGTGCCCACTACCTCTCCACCCTCAGAAAAACCCAGTCCGGCCGAAGAGACCACCTCCGCTGCTGCCCAAGCTGGTGAGAGCACGGCTGCGTCCGTCTCCCGCAAAAAAGGTTTCACCCACTACCTGTCGTACCCCCGGCCCAGCGTCCAGGCCTTCGTTGGCAGCTACATCGCGCCCCTTGTTCCCAAGTTTCGAGGCGATCCGAAAAAAGCGGCGGTCGACAAGGAAAAGTCCGCCGCAGACTGTGTAGCTGAACGCATGGTGGACAAAGCAGTGGAGAAGACCGAGGGTGAAGAGGAAAAAGCTGAAAAGGCAAAGCAGCAGCAGCTGCTAAGTCAAAGA